TTAATATGTATTTTTACATTTTATTGATTTACCAATTTTTAAATAAAATAAATTTAAAAAGTGAATATTTTTTTCTCGTAACCCGCAATTTGTAATCAAATTGGGGAAGAGAGTATGTATTTTTCGTCCACCCTTCACAAAACTTAGAAAGGAGATCCATTAGAAATTGAAAATTTGAAGTCACGTGTAGTCTTCAGCGCAATGAATAATAGTGCAAATTCCATCATTAGCCTTCTAGCAATTGCAATTATACGAAATGATTAAAATTTACCTCATAAAAGGGGAGTCTTAAATGGCTGCCATTATGGATGAGGTCATGTATGAATAAATAATAATAACAACAATAATAATAATTACTCCATCGTAATAATAATAACAATAATACAACTTGAAAGCTCTTCACATGCATCAATTATGCCCCCTCCCCTACCCCCAGCACATTTTTCTTAAGGTGATCATTATTTATACTTATTGCATTTTCATTTACAGTAATTATCTCTCCAAATTTTTTTCAGATTTTCCTAATTTATCACACATTTTCTTTTATGTTCCGTAAAAAACAATAATTACGGTACTCCATATTTGATGCCACTATTTCATATTTTCTCCGTCCAGTAAAAATTTTCCAGTTTTGATTTTTAGGTGAATTAAGGGAAGGTATTTTGATGTTTGACCTTCCACAAAAGCTATTAGGATTACTTTTTAAAAGTGATATTTCACGTCAATGAATAGTTACAAATAATGAGAGTGGGTAATTAAAAAATAATGTAAAAAGTAAGATGAGATGTGAGAGATGTGATATGGGAAAGTAGAGTTAAAGAGTGATATTTTAGTCTATTTTGAAGAAATTGAAATATTTTATGGAACGAATAAGATGAGAAAGTTGAAATATTTAGTGGGACTCAGGGATCTACGATAGTTGTGAGGAACAGATTTGTTTGGTGGTTTGATATTTTGCAATTCCTGCGTCACAACTTAGATTATAAGTTCACTAGTTACGAGGTAAAATTATGCATTTTTAAAATGAATTTATATAAAAACTGTTAATTAATAAAATTTATATATTAAAAAACTTGGTTGAAAGTTCTACAAAATAATGAATGACAAAAATATTTTACACAAAATGGTATTACTCTCCTGAGCATAAACTAAATGGTATTTAACACTGATTAATGGTATTATTCTTTTGAGTTTGGATGAAAAGAAGGGAAATGATAAAAGTGTAAAACTTTCTCTCCCTTATTAAAAAAAAGTGAGAAAAAGAAAAATGCTCAAGTGAAATTATGTTTACGCCCTTTTAATAAAACAGAACTCCCTTTCAGGGCGGCCCAAGGGAGGGCCAAAGTCCCTACCGTACCGGGCTTATTTTTTGGTGGGCCTTGATATTTTAATTATATAAAATAGTTATTATATTTGATTAGAAAATTTAAAAACTAAATTTTTAAGGTAACTATTACAAATTTAATTAGAATACTACGATTTTGTTTATACTGTCAATGGCTATTTTTTTAAAAAATATAACTTATTTGCTTGGGCTAAGAGCACATTTTTTCTTTTCATCTAAGACCCTTAAATCCTCACGACTGGCCTTACTTCATTTTTCCCAGTCTTTTCATCGAGCCTTTTTGGCTCATTAGTTATACTCGTCTACTTTCTATTTTGGTAAGGAAATAAGGGTTACAATGACATATATACCCTTACATGGACTAGCGGAATTGAGTAGAGTAGATGCACCGTGAGCATATATATATATATACTTCTTCAGTAAGCACGTATCTTTTTCTGTCTTCTTCCATCTGCGACATCAATCTTCCTACTCCGGTGAGGCTTATTTAATGTCTTTGTTTCGCCAAGCCTTTTTTGGTATAAACAGAGGCTCTTTAGATCTATTTTAACATACAATTCCCTACTTTATTCATATCTTTACATTGCATCAAGTTATATACATCTTCCATAACTTTTTAAAACCAATTTTTATGGAATTAACTGTATTCTTGTACTTAAACAAGTCTACTCATATTGTACTCTTTGAAAGAGCTTTGTTCTAGAGTGCTTGCGTGTTATAAACACTTTAAAGAAAGTTTGTTCCATTGGTTAGATCTAAGGAAATGCATATTCCTTTGGTGTGAAGTTACGTTGAGGCTCATGTGACCCATATTCTCAAGTTGTAAACAGCTTGTTATGCTCCCATAAACTTAACGAGGTTAGTGGAATCACGAGAGTGTCTCTTAGGGAATACTGGATGTAACCATAAGTTGTTGCATGCCAGTATACATCGGTGTATTCTTTCCTTTACTCTTTCCTTCACCATCTTACTTTCATTCCTACGCTTGAACTATTAACTTTATTCTTGTGATTTTTTAAATTATCCATAAATGTTATTCACCTTCTCTTTCTGTTGGACATACTTTAACACTTTTAACAATGAATTGTCATGTTTTGACAATGGATGGTAAGGCTCTCTTTCTCCAAAATTCTGCAGCCTTCAACAATCGAGTGCCAATATATGACAATCAATTGTCAGCCTTTCCCGACTTTTTCCTAGAACTTGTGATAGGCTCAATATTCAATTGTCACTTTTAGACAATCAATTATCCATGTTACCGTTGCCCCCAACGATTAGTTTTTAGATCGTTGTGTAAAAAACGAACCAACAATCGATTGTCATCTTTGAACAATCAATTGTAAAATCTTAACAAACTATTTAAATTGTTGATTTATTGTAGAGTTGTAAATGGATAACCGAAAATATGATTACTGTCTACATTCGTATCTGTTTAGAGGTAATAATCTGCATCTATTTTAAATGGGTATTATATGAATTCGATTAAGGACATCAGATTATTAAACAGATATGGATTTGGTAATTGTATATTTGATCCGTTTAAAATTCAATCTAGATATACATTCGTTTAAATAACCGTTTATCGGAATATCCGTTTATCCGAATACCGAATTAAAATTATTTTAATAAATATAATCCTCTACCCAGCCCATTATACATTTATACTTGGCCCATATATCCCAAAATATACATTACCCTCTAAGTCTCTAACCTTAGTGCTCTATCGTTAGTTCCTCAAAGTACTTGGTCGATTATGAATTTATATTTTTTCGAATCATTTGTTTTGATTAAGTATTTACCATTTAGACGGAAGTTTTTTACGTATTTAGACGCTGTTCAAATTATAGATTTTGATATTCACTTTCATATTCCCTTTATAATCATTTGAATTTTTTATCAACAATTTCAAATATTAAGTTGGTATCAAATATTTGGTTGGTTTCAAATATGCAATCAGATCCGGATATATCCACAATCAGGAGATATCGTCGGTTATGGATTCAGATATAGAAATGTAAATATATGCCGGATACGGATATCCCAAAACTTAATCGAATTTGGATATGTCATATTCGTTGTTGATATTATCCTTTTAGAGCTCTAATTTACTCCTTGATTGATTCGCAATTAATGAGCAACAGCCATACACTATTATAGCAATGGGGCCTTTTGACTTGGTTTAAGTGAACACATTCTTCCATTTTTTGTCTTTATTTTCTTACTCCCTCCGTTTCTCAAAACGGTTCTTCTTTTGATTTTGGGAAAAAATAATGAAGTGTTAAATTGTAGTTGACTTTCTAATTTTGCCCTTGATGTGATGGGTAAAAGTAAGATGTGATAGTTTAGTTGTTAGTGAAAAAGTATGATGTGATAGGTAGGGTATGAAAAAGTAGGGGTAAAAGTAGTTTTTTAATAGAAAAGGGAAGTGTTTTAAGAAAAACAAAAAAATGAAAGAGGAAGAGTTTTAAGAATCGGAAGGAGTATTATTTATGCATCAAATCTAGAGCTTTTCTTGAGTCATTTGAGAGGTAACTTTTATTTTTCATAGAGATTATATTGTATCTCTTCATATACTCTTTCGAGAGAATATTTAGAGTTAAAGAGAAGTTTGAGAAGATCAATTTTTCTTGTTGAGTGCTCCCATTTCTCCACCCCAAAATCTTAGTACGTGGTTGAAGTGTTCAACGAGTAGTCCGAGTGGTATGAAGTTTAGGGTGAGGAGTCCGAGCGGTTGAAGTTAAGTCTTGTAGAGGGTACATCTAGAAGCAAGTATAAATGACTTGTTGGGCACCCGTAAGCCTAATGAAGGTGGTGGAATTTCGAGATAGTTTCTCAAGACTAGATTAGCATCATGGTGTGGTGAATCGATATAAAAATCTTTGTGTTCTTCTTCGCTTTTTATATCCGCACTTAACACTTTATTCTTGCGTTTTATTTCAACGTTTATTTATCAACATTTTACATGTTAACTGTTCACCATCCCTTTTGTATCGATACATATTCTAACATAAATATTTGATCAGATATGAGTGAGTTTTATAAGGTGAAATTGGATAGTTCAATGTTCATTATAACTAAGCAGTACACAATAGGAGGTAAGAGCATTTATAATTTCCGAATGGGGAATTGGTTGCGACATCAACATTTCCCTAACTTTCAGCCCCACCCAAAACAATTGCAATGTTATGGCCCTCTAGCTTCGCCTCTTTGTTTCTTTTACATTGATGGATACTTGGAACTTTTCCTCAGACAATTGAGCAGCCCAATGTCTAATTTCACTATCCACAGACTTTGTAAACACGAGTAACGATATATGGAAGTAGTAAAAATAGTAGTAAAAAAGAACAACAGAGTAAACATGGAGATAGTGGATTGGGTAACTTCGCTCAAGTGGGTGGGTACTCCTCCTTGGCCGACACCGTCTCACTCGCCGGAATATCCTTTTATTACACGTACTCGATCTTTACTAAACTGTTTCACTTGCTCAGTACAAGATGCCTTGTATTAGGGGCTGTTTGTTTCAGCCTCTTAATGGTTCAGATGTCTGAATGGTTCAGCACTTAATGGTTCAGACTGTTTGTTTCAGCCTCTTAATGGTTCAAATGTCTGAATGGTTAAGAGATTTGCCTCTGAATGGTTAAGTATTATACAGAGTCTGAATAGTTAAGACCTCTTATCTGAATTGATCAGACATTTGCCTCTGAATAGTTAAGCAATATACTAGCTCTTAATGGTTCAGACCTCTTACTGGTTCAGCACTTAATGGTTCAGACCTCTTACTGGTTCAGCACTTA